TGGTGCGCACATTGAAATAAGTCATAAAACGCCTCATGGAGACCTGATTGTACATCCTCTCCAGTTGTATATATATATATATATATATATATATATCCTACGTCAACTGAATTGACGTAGGAGCCAAACGCAGACACTGAAGCTAAATGGAATACCAAATAATCTGATAACCAAATCCAATATTACATAACAAAAAGGTGGAAAACCCCAAACAACGCACGAAAGGGAAAACAGATGACAGGATATGGACAAAGGGCTGGGAAGGACTATATATACACAGAGGATTGACTGTAGAATTACATTTTCAAAGTACAACAGGAAATAACCAAAAGTTATTTAACTGCAAGTGAAACAGGAACAGTAGACACTACCATAGGAGGAATGGGAAAAGCTACAAACACAATAAGTTACCATTGAGCTCAATTGCTAAAAAATAGTTTGGGCTTTGCTTAAAATTAACATGAAGGCAGTTTGCAACAGGTTGCAAATCATTTATACGCTCATATTTAATTAACAATGTTAAAAAGACAAAATATCAAGTGTTCAATATGAGAGATGTTGGTTTGGGAGAAATGTATAAGAATCGGTCAGAGACACACTTGCAGTTATGTCAAATTGCTGTTCTTTAACAACATTTTAAGTGATTACGAAAATTAGGTCAGTTGCTGTAGTTGTGAAAGCAAAAATGTTTCCCATTCTTCCTTGTTTCTTATCAACTTCTCAGCAGCTGTGGGTTTACTTTGTTATATTTTTCCAGTGCATAATGGCACTACGTTTTTCTGAGTAGCACTCCGGTTTCATTCACTATAGAGTGGTGCTGCTGTTGCTGCAGAATCCTGAAAAACAATGTTGTCTGTGTGGCACTACCCATTCCAACATGTGTATATACTTTATTCCATGTTAATGGTGCCTGCATACTTTTATGGAAGCTTTTAAACCATGCATTTATATGTCAGATTATATATTTTTTCTTTAGCCTGGAAAGCATGCCCTCCATAACTTTAACTTTTTTTGTTTTTTTATTTGTCAAACCACACAATGGTTTCCTCCTTGCCGTGGTCCCTCTTAAATGAACTCAAGCCTGGCGTTGGCGCCAGTGTTGCTAGACCTTTTCTTTCTTTGCATGACAGTGGCTTGCGTTTGAGGATCAAATTCAGTTATAGTGTTCCAGGACTGTTTCTGAGTCAATATGCTAGTCTTTAAATGATAATATAAACCAGAAATAATTTTATGGCCTTAAATAATATTTATGCCCACAGTCACATTGCAGTGTAACAGGGGTTTAAATTACTGCATTCTGCTTTAAGTAAGATTTTTCTGCAGCATCCTAATGTTTTTAAGTTTTAAAGCTGTGCTGTTCATTGGAAATAATGTGTGGAAATGTAATTCCACAGAAACACAGACACTTTGGGACATAGATTTGTACTTTTGAACTTTGTACTGCAAAGCCACGTTAGGTCCTTTTATCTAGAATTTAGTACGATTTTTTTTTTACAGTCGAAACACAGGCACATACATGCAGAAACTAATGTGTTACTGCATGTGTTTTTCCCTGGAAAACAGGGTTGAATTTGGCAGGAATTCCCAATATGCTAACTCCCAGCATTCAACAATAAGCCTGTCACTGTATAGAGTCCCTTTTGAGTCTTAATTTTGTTTTTCTGAAAACTGAATAAATTTCACCAAAAAATAGATATAATAGATAAAATATCAAGTTTAATATTGAATTGTATATATTTGATTTGGTAAATAACTGAAGAAATGATTCAAACTTTTTAAAGTTTTTTCTGCACATTTCTTGTTTAAATGAATAACATATGTCATACCTCTCTTAAAGGGCATTGTCAGTACCATGTAAACTTGTATGGGCTGATTGTGGAAGCCACTAAGTATGCAGGGATAATAGAGGCAGGAGGTATGCTGACAGCTTTCTGAGGGCCAACCCTGTGAGGGGACTTATGGTATTATATTGCTATTTATAGAGTCTTCACATTTTAGGTATTGACATAGACACATCTTGTTTCTGAAGAGCAGGTCTTTAATTTTAATGTCATGGAAGACCAAGGAAGAACTGAGGCAACCGAAGAAATCCACCATGGTGGTCTTCCTTGGTTGCCCTACCTTTCAGCATTTCTTTTGCTTTCAATGGCACATGATGAAAAATGGCAGCTCCAGACTCAAAAGGTGATCAAAAGCTAAATACAAATACAAGCAAAACCATGCAACTCTTTAATATATTTAACACTTTCATTTGAGTGGTTACTTTATAATATCTGGTAACATTTTATAAAAATAAACAAAATACTGCTCTATGGACAATTTTTTTTAACTCCAGGTTTACAAGCTGCTACATTGGTCACTTTAAACCACTCCAAACTGTAAACTGTAAATTGTAAATTCTAATCGCAACTTCTCTTGATCCCCTATGACTTAAGCGGATATTTTTCTTACTCTTTTTTATAACTATTTATTAGCTTTTTTGCACTGATGTAACCAGAGCTTCGTCGTCTTGTCTGTCTGTATGCTGCACTGGATATAGCAGAGATGACAATAAAGTTTACATTGACTTTGACTTTGAAAATGGCACAACAGGATGTAGACCTAAATGAAGGACTCAGTAGACTGAAACATAAACTCGAAATGAAGCTTTAATGTAGGACTCTCTCTCTCTCTCTCTCTCAAAAAAAAAAAAGAAAATACAAAAATCCCCCAAAGATTAGGTGGGAAGAAGCAAGGAAACCAAATACTAGGAATCTTCAAGGAAACATAGATGAAGGGGACACACAACAGTGAGGGTCTAGACAACAAAGGATAAAGAAAGGCTCTGACAATATGTACACAAGCCAGGTAACAAGACATGTCTTCATCAGACATCTGACACCTTCTTTTGATATAATATAAGCCCATTAAAACCAAACAAAACTTTGGAATATTCTATAGAAAAGGATAAACAGTGTTTCCACAGCCATCAATGTAATTATGCAATATCTTGATGCATGCTCAATCATCCAGGTAAGTAAATCCCAAAAGGTTGATTCTGTTCATCTGGACGTATTTTTTCAGTGAGTGAAACGTTTCGTCATTTCTTCAGTCTCATCTGCCTGCGGGTTTGAGTCTTATCATCCACTGGAGCATAAACTGGGTGCCATCAGGACGCTACAACACAGAGCGAACACCATCACCACAGACACAGCGGCCAGGGAGGAAGAAGAACATCACATCAAGAAGGCCCTGAGTAAATGTGGTTATCCCAGCTGGACATTTGTCAAAGCTGGGAAGGCGCCTAAAGATAGCTCCAGCCGATCCAGAAGAGAAGGACAACTGCTGCCAAAGCAAAAACCCTTAGTGATCCCGCTTGTGTCAAGAGTATCGGAACAGTTGAGATGCATTTTTTCTAAACACCACATCTCCCACACCACAAACAGAGTAACATAGTGTACGCTGTTAAGTGACAGGAGGATTGCCATGATTTATACATCAGGGAAACCAAACAACCTCTGGCGAAGCAGATAGCACAACACAGAAGAGCTAACTCGTCAGGCCAGGACTCTGCAGTCTATTTACACCTACAGGCCAGTGGACACTCTTTCAAATGGTACTCATGGACATTGATCAAAATCCTTTGATCAGTGGTTGTTGATCAGTGGTCATGACAATTTGCATATTAATGATCAAGAAACTGACCTCACAGCTCATTGTTCATTCAGTGTGCTAGTTTCAGTTATTGTGCAAATGTTTTTATAAGGTAGGGGAAATCTTCAGTCAGCTGAGAATGAAGAAGTCACTTGGATGAGTGACGAAATGTTTCTTGCACTGAAAATGCTACATTCAGATGAACAGAATCAACCTTTTGGTAATTATGCAATACTTTAAGGCCTGTGGGCCATACTGAAGTGGCTGTGG